CATTGAGGGCCATGACTGTAATAACCACCATGGTAGGCAAGGGTAGATGGCAGAAGGAAACTTCTAATAAGTGACCTAGGTAGCATTGTTAAAGGAACAGAGGAAGCAGGCTCTAAGACTAGGATACTGCCTCTGGTTTGGCTTCTGACAATTCAAGGGAGAAGGATGCAGTCATTTTTTCCACACACAGTGTGGTCCTCTGCCTTGCTACTGAAAACTGGCTTGTTCAAAATAGATTGGGTCTTTCCAAAACATTCACTTCCTTAAGCCAACCTAAGAACAAAGTGAGTCCAGGCTCTGTTTTCCTTGATTACTTGTTTCTGATGGTCTGAATTAGTTTCCAGATATTTCCAAAAGCACCTGTTATACATAGTAAAAGAAAACAAAAAGTCCTTTTTTCTTGAGTGAGGTCATGAAACGCTATTGCAGTGAGCAGAAAGACATAATGAAATGTTGTAGGAGTCAATAATTTAGGAATCATACACATCAGTGGCATCAGTGACCCACTTCTAGGGCTTCAAAATGGAGAAATTACCTTGTTATATCCACCAACCTTGGAGTCCACCTATGTAGTGAACATCCTAAAACATACTTGCTTTTGAGGGATTTGTCAAAGGGACCATGTATAAGATCAGAGTATCACAAAATTGGAAAGATACTCAGCAGTTTCTCCTTTGCTAGTCAACTTGTGGTCTAAATTATTCAAGACAGATGGACCATCATCTTATTTTAAAGTCTTAAACTAATGTTTACCTATTGCCAAATTCCTCTCCCCCTACTACACATCCTTTTTCTATGATATAAATTGTAATCTCTGGCTTGCTCGATCCATTTATAAACCTATACAAGATAAATGAAACCTGGAAGTGTTTTAGAATTTGGCCAAATCCATGCAGATCTCAATCCAGAGAGAGACAGAGACAGAGTGGGAGAGAGAGAGATCAGTTCATATGTATCATACCCTCCATGATCAAACTAGTCATTTAACTTAAGATGCATGTGTCTCTTCTAAAGATTTCCTCATATATGTAATAATATAAGCAACAAGTAACATTTATTGAGTGCTTACTCTGGGTCAAGCAATGGCCTGAGGTACCTTGGAATCTGGAATTTCAGCATAAAGATTGTGTCAAACCAGGTTCATACTGAAGGTAAGCTCACCAACAGACAAGGGGGATATTAAAAGAGAAATCAGAACCAATAAGGCAGCCCTTAGTAACCAGGCAAATGTCAGTCCCATCATTTTTCAGCAAATGAAAAGTCACAGGGCAGGAGGGAGATTTGTAGTGCTTCTTACACTTGTGAAGGTTTTTACCCCCCCAAATATCTGAACATGCTCACAAAATTTTGCACACACTTCCAGGGGTTCTCACTGACATTCTGAAATCTAATCAGTGCACCTTGGACTCCTGGATTAAGAAAAAGAGAGAAGGAAAGAGAAGGAGCCTGATTCTTGCGAGGAGCCTTCTACATGGCTGACACTGGCATACATACCAATCCACCTTCACAGTGCTCATGAAAGACAGGGTTATGTCCCCCACTTGGCAGATAAAAGAGCCTCCAAGAAGTTCAACCTCTACAGAGATCACACAACTAGCAGGTAGTAGGCAGGGATCAAAACTGCTCTTCCTGTCTTCACAGTCTCAGCATTTGAGTCTACCATGAGAAAGAAATTAGAATTCGAGAGACTAAAACACATCAGGGACAGGCATTTTTATAACTTTTACATTTATACAAGAAACTACCTAAATATCTGACAACAGTTATAGTTGAGTATATCATGATTCATCCATACAGTGGAACTGGAATACTGCACAGCATTAAAAGCCATATTTTCACAAAGTATTTAATGACATGGAGAAATGTTCACAACAGCTAAGTCACAGAGGAGGATTCAAATATGGATATTCACCATAGTATATGTGTACATATGTGAATAAATATGCATACACACATTGAGAAAACTTTGATGATGGAAAAGAAGTGATTTTTTTCTTCTTATCCATTCATATTTGCATTACAATGATCACTTATTATGGTTATAATCAGAAAATGGTCAATCTTTTTTTTTAAGTTGAAATACAGTAATGTGGATGTCCAAACTGTCTTCTAAAGCACAGAATAAGGAAGCCAGATGGGACTGTAGCACTATCCCTTTCTAATTGATCAGAAAACTAAGGACCAAACAAGTGTGGCCAATTTAAATAAGGGCTTGCATAAAATTGAGGCAGTTTTGTAATGCATAGTATATAGTCTTTTAGTTTTTCTTTTATGTGACGTATGGAGGAATACAACCTTATCTGGAAAAAATTGTTCTCACACTGAAGCTATGTTTTGAAGCTCTGGGGTTACCATGCATATGTGAAAAGTCAAGTAGGGCTCTAATTAGAAAGACTGATTGCCCAGGCTCCTGCAAACTCTCTGTCTTTTGTCCTTCCCTTCTATAATCCCTGGGCACATCTCACCAAGGGGCTGGGGGCAAGGGACATCCAGTCTCACCCCACCTAGGATTTGAAACCAAGAGAACAGGGAATCCATTTTGGAAGGCAATTTCCTGCAAGTGGCTCTTCCTAAAGAAATTTCCCTCTTGTATGTCCTCTAGAAGGCAGCTTAAAAGCAAGACACCCAAGTGGCCCAGCTTCCTCAGCAGAGCCCACTAAAGCAATTCTTGCTGGCTAAGGTTTACAATGGATGAATTTCTGCCTCTGAGGAATATTCAAATATGTGTACATTTGTTTCCCTAATTGCCGTAAATATTTACATTGTCCTTATCAGTAGATTACATTATATATTTATTTAGAACTATCATTTACAGTGCTCTCCCCTAATTGGGAAATGAAACAGCTGTTTGGCACTTAAAAGAACATGTCATGTCCCCTTTGAGTGATCTCTTAAAGAGGACAGGGATTATAAGTATTTACTTTAGGATTTCTGAAATAAAGCCGACCAGTTCTAGGCAGAATGAAAATAATTTCTTGGGAATCTTCTGCTATGAAAGATTAGGGAGATACATGGAAATAACAATGAATGGAACAGCAGTTATTTGGGATTACATGGCATTTTGTCCCCAATTTAAGTGAGACTGTAGCTGATGTTTCCGTCTGAATTGTGCTACTGACTCAGTCACAGTCCTTGTCTGTTGGGTGTGTAATGGTGATTATGCAAGTCTGTGGGGTCGCTCCTTAATTTGCTGACTGTTTTGCCAGTCTGTAGCTCAAGGGAAAAAAGCTCTTCAAAACTGATTGTTTATTCCAAAGAGAGAAAAAAAAAATACCTCTTCTAAGTTATTTTCATCATTAATTCAAATTATTAAAACATAAAAGATAAAATGTCTAAAGTTTTTGAAATGGCTCATTTGGATTATATTATAATATTGCAAACAAATGGGGAAAAAGCTTACAACCGAGTTTGTTTATTTTTTTAATTAAACTGGATGTAAAGCCAACATTTCTGCTTGTTTACCTATAGGAACTATAAAATACATGGTGAATATTGGCTTTTTCTGGCATTTCCCATATAAAAATGTGCTGTTTATATATGAAAAAGTGACTATACTTTGGGGAAAAGAAACTTAGAGTGTGTTCACCCTTAGTGTAGCTATGTTACTCTAAGAGGAAATAGCTGTGTTTACTAATGCCATACCCAGTTAACAATATGTGAAGTTTAATTTTAAAATAATATATGAATACTTTATTGTATACAAAATGTGTT